GACAGGTTCTGACAGTATCGGAACGGCTACTCTGCAGAAGATGATACTGTACCCAAAGCAAGCTTGCCTCGATTTTGCACAAACATGCTACGTCGGTTGCACCTTAAACCCTAGAACCCAACCCAAACATCACTTTCGTTTGAGAGCCCAGTCAGAACCTCTCAAAGTAGTGCGGTAGGGCCGACACCCTTGCAAAGTGGGACTAGGAGGGACTGTGGTTTCAGCAAGGGGAAGACGGTGGTAGAGGTGGTGAATCCTAATGTTCCAGTCCCTGTCCCCAAGCCCCAGCCTACAATTAAGGCGTTCTAATTTCAAGGATCTTGCAGGAGGAAAGGAGGCATCAAAAAGCAAGATCATGTCAAGACAAAACAGCTAGCTGAGGGCCTTAAAAGAACACCTATTCTAACTATTAAGGCCCCGGTACCCTTATAGATCCCTTGTAGTAACCCTTTGTAGACCCCTTGAAAGGAACCCTATTCTAATCTATTAAGGCCCCTAGGGCTTTCAGAGCAGTCTGCGCAGAAGTCAGTGGCGCGCCTCGAGCTCTCAGTCGCTCCGGCGTGTTCACGGAAGAGCTTGAAACATTAGGGTTTGGGGTTTAGGGTTTAGTCATTCCGTCCTCGCGATGGTCCCTGTATACAACCAAAACGTGCATGTATGCATGTAGTGGCCGGCCTACCAGAACCCCAACCCCCCTGAGCTTAGGGAGAAGAAGCTGTCAACAAAGTGTCAGAAGTTTCCGGCAGAATTAATCAGGGTGAGAGGACCGACCACGCTTCCTTTCCAGGCTGGTCGTCCTCGATTTTGTGAATGACGAACCTAGCCTCTTCCTTTTGGAGGCTAAGCATGTGTCTGGGACGTAGGACCTGTGAATGGAACATGAAGGTGGCTCAATCAAAGTCTCACGATCCATCTACGCTTTGACTGACAAGACATGCTTCAGACATATGCATGCGGTCCAACCAGCCATTTCCATGCTGCTGATTTGGCACCTAGATTTTCTAGCAGGTATCATAGACAATTACTGACCATTCTGGGCGGTGAGGTGCAAAGTTGAAATAACTGAGAGGCCGTAACCTGGACCACCAATTGCAAAGGCTCTGGATGTATTGCTCTAGGAGAGCTTCAACACTACTTCGCAGTCTTGCGCCCTTTGTTGCGAGCTCTCGTCAGGGCCACGCCACAGACCGTGACCGCTTTGTCCTGTGCATGAAGATCCTGAGGCTCCGATCCCGCAGTTTGAGAGTTAGACGGAGGACCCCCGAAGAGGGTACAAAAACCTGAGATGTTGACTCGTTTGTTGTTTCAACTTCCGGGTAGACCCCTGTCTTTGTTAGAACTGAAGTTGGTCGTCAACGAGGAGTAGCGTCGCGGTCGCCTTGTCGTGCTTGCGACTGGTGCCAATAGCCAGGAATCACAACTTAGACTGACGGATGTGAAGCCCTCCATGAAAGTAGTGGGCTCCTTCAAACCTGAGCACAAGCGTCCGAACATCAGCAGAGATCACTTCAAGCACACACAGCTCTGTGTCGCAGATTCTGCATCCCTGCTTCTGAGACATGCTTCCCAGACCTGCGCATTTGCTTAGTACAACACACACACACACACCAATATTCAGAAGCCCCTAACCCCGTCCGGACAGGCTCTATGCTCAGACGTTCGGGAGGCGTTTATCCCCGCGACCGTTTGAGTAGAGGTGCCTTCAGTTCTCCAGCGTCTTGGGCAGAGGCAAAGGGCTGGCGATAAGAGCCTCGAGAGCGATCAGCCTCGCACCTTCAGTACGCACTATTTTTATAGTAAACTTTCCATCCTGAACACCATGTACTTTCAGAACCCTTTCCTTGCAAACATACTGAACAATCGGGTTTAGATGTTTTTTGGTTTTGTTCATGGCCCTTGTCTGGCCGTCGCTGTACATTTCCCTATGCTTCTACTAGGCGAAGCCTCGGCCGAAGCGCTGGAGCCCGAAACCTCTTCGTGGGCTGCGAGGCCTTTAAAGGAGGCTCCAGGACCCTCGGGGGTGGAGTAGAGATGAGGGATTCAGAGCCCGGATTTGGGCTTCGAAGCGATCGGTTGCTGTAGGCCTGCCGTCGCAACTACTTCGCAGAAGAGGGCGATGAGAAAAGCGATCCGAGCTTGCCATTAAAGAACCCTGTTCAACCAACGATTTCATCTTGAGGTGCTTCAGACCAGGGCAAGGCAGTAGTCAAACGATGCTAGCGGATGATATAGATCACGAGTCTAACGTGTTTGTCATTTAGCACCTGTGCTGAGAGGTGCCGTCATCATGACTGTAACTGTTGCATAAGCAGTAATTCCCTGGACTTCGTCGAGGAGTTGGCGAGAAAGCATGGCAAATGCTGCCACGCTTGTCTGTACTTTATGTCCAAGTAGCTGCACGCCTACACTGGGCCTACACCTTCTAAACACCTTCCAAGCTTGTAGCAATTGACGGGAAGGTCGACACCACTGCTTCCAGCCTCAAAGATAATTGAAGCCCAGAGTGAAGCGAACCTTGGCCCTGGAGCATCGAGAAGCTGTTGCACTCTGCCATGTCACTCAGGTATATGGGTGGTTGACAAAATTATGGTCCCTTCTGGGTACCCTAAATATTAGGTGCCGCATTAGAATCAGGACCCAAAGAGGGACCCTAATTTTGACAACCACCTATATGTCGTCTTTCTGCCAGAGCCGTGGGGCTCGAGGTTGGGAGCGGCTTTGGAGACGCATAGGAGCAGGTCAGTTGCTGTGGACTGGAGGGCTGGGGGAGGGTGCCATCAAGATGATCCGAGTCCTGATGCTCCTCGCTGGGGCGATGGCATCTGAAGCGACTGACTCTGGCAACCTCAATGGTGACATGGCTCCAAGTAAGTTGTTGGACAAGGCATCTTGAGCCGCAGGGGGAGATGAGGGGTTAAGGATCTTTAGCGACCAGGATTCGAAACACATCTTGCGAGTTCTCACGCTTCCTTGCATCATCTTGCATCCCAATCCCAAGCAGCCCTACGCCCTTCGCTTCCCATGCCCTGCTCTCAGGTGACTATGTGCCAGCCTCAGGGGAGAATTCTGGAGCGGGAGCATTATTCTTCGTGGTGCGATACATGGGGGTGATGAGGGCTTCTCCATTGAACCTCTTGAACAGATCCATGCAAGTCCTCTTGAGCAGATCCATGCAAGTCGCGCGGTGTAGATGCAAGCAGAAGCTAGTGCAGGGCTTTCGCGTGAGTTTTCTTGGATCGAGGTGCTGTCTCAAACTCCCGGCGGCAAGGAGACGCAGAAGCGATTTCCAGCCCAGTTCAGCAACTACCCCGGAAAGCCAGCCTTTTTTGATGTCTACAGTCCGACGATCCGAAGTTTATACTCCCAAGTCTTCTGGAAGGCACTCCCGCCAGTGGATCTGCCGAAAGAGGTCGTCCAGCGATTTGACGGCAAGGGCATGGCCATCGTAGGTTTCGAGGTCGACCAGGTGCGGAGAACCCAAGCCGGGGATGTCTCTGTGCCCATTTCCGTGGCTTACAACCACCACTTCGAGAGCACCATCATAGGAAAGCGTGCTGCCTTCGAGCACGCATTGATCCAGGGTCCTGGAGACCCGCGCATTCCTGAAAAGCACGGGCATGGAGCAGGCTCTGCATGGAAGCCAGGGCAGCGTGAGTGGGTCGTGCGCGAGAAGGAGCCCGGGGCGCTCCCTACGAGCCAAAGCATTGGCGGTGCCAATGGCGGCGAGTATCGCAAAAGCTTCCATGGCTACGCACCTGGCTTCGTGCAGGCGGGGTTGGTTCTGGCTTGGGGCTCCTTGCAAAACGGGTTTTTTCCACAAAACGGACCTTGGCTTGGAACATCTCAGAAACGTACCAGGTGGTTGAGTCTCCGACTCAGATCCAGATTACGCCGATGCAGATTGACACATGGAACAGGGACAAGATGAATATCTCTCACCCGACACGCTTCGTGCCGGGACCTGTGCCCAGGACCCTCCCAAATTCACCCCCGGCCCGTAGTAGCTTACTTAGTAGCTCCGTAAGTCTCGTCGAGCCTTGGCGGATTCTTGAATTATATAAGGCCCTGCAGAGCCCCGAAACTTGCATAAGCAGTTAAACATCCGAACTAAACCATAAAAGAAGACCTTACTTGTAGAATTCTGAGAACTCAGAACCCATCATGAACCACGAATAGAAACAAGAGACCCCTTCATGATTCCCCACAAAAAAAACAAGAGCACCCCTTTTTCATTTACACGAGGAGCTCCCAGGCGCCGACCTCCGGAGCCGATGCCCTTTATTCCGGGCTTCCTGGCGTAATCCACGAGTCCTAATAGGACGGAACCGTTTCGGAAAGACCTAGCAAAGCATGTAGTCAATGTGGCAGTAGCAGTAGCAGTAGCAGTAGCGGTGGCTCGCGGTAGCGGTGGTGGTGATGGTAGTACTAGTAGTAGTAGTAGTAGTAGTAGTAGTAGTAGTAGTAGTAGTAGTAGTAGTAGTAGTAGTAGTAGTAGTAGTAGTAGTAGTAGTCGTAGTAGTAGTAGCAGTAGTAGTAGTAGTAGTAGTAGTGGTAGTGGTAGTGGTAGTAGTAGTAGTAGTAGTAGCAGCAGCAGCAGCAGCGGCTGCAGTCGCGGCCGCAATCGCACTTGTAGTCGCAGTAGTCGTCGTCGCAGCCTCAGAAGCGGTTGTAGCCATGTTGTTCACATTAAGAGTACCAGGACCAGAATCATTCTTGCGTTAGTAGTATTTGCACCCTTATGCTCATGCTGTGACCATCATCCTCATCCTCGGCATCTATTTGGACTGACAAAGAGCCGTTCAGAGCTGTCTCAACACCTCGAAGCCGCATGCCTTGTTTGGAGCTTAGGTTGCTGGAGTGTCCTGTGACAACTCGCCTTCAGAAGCACGACCCTTGCCCCGATGGAAGTTGTGTTTAAGGTGTAGGGCCTACGCAAAGGTTTCAGATTCTCTTACGCGATGATGCCCGACTTGCTGTTCACACATATGTTCCGGGAATATTAGTGTAAGTTGTGCTCACTGCGCTGTCATTGCGCTCAGTGTTCCAAAATGCGGTGGTCACCTCCGGAATTACGACGCAGCTGCCTTGGCATCAGCAGTAGCAGTGGGACGGTAAGCCTTAACATAGCGACAGCATCGGTTGTAGGTCCTCGTCGCCGTGTGCCGCTATTGAAAAGTACCAAACCCTGTACGTTGGTAGAGAGAAATTTATCAGTTCGATCTGTTCTTAACCTTGGATCTTTCAAGATCTTGGCGCTCTTTGGGGGGAAGAGGGGCTTCTCCGACATCCCGAGCTGTCAAAAATCCACCCGCAGTGTCCTTGCCGTAGGTTTTCCCCCACCTTTCCCAGCTTCCTTCACCTCCATGTGAGTTCGCTCGCTTTACAACACCGATGCGGCACCCCCCCATTTTCTTGGGTTTTGGATTCCCGAAACAGCTCCTCGCACCTCTGAGGTGTCCGGGGAGGCGATCGTCCGCTTGCAAGGGGGGCCCTGCTCGAGCCCGCCAGAGTCAGGCTGACTTCCTCAGGGCCGTTCTTCGATTCTGGGAGTGGAGCTTCACTCCTGCAGGGGTGACTTTGGGCTGGGATGGCGGCTACGAATTAAATGTCTCGTCGGTTCAACAGGCAGGGAACCGTTTGCTGCTGTGAGAAGATACCGTGGCGCGAAGGGCTTTCAATTTCTGCTGTCGAAAGAGGTGAACCTGTGTTGTTATATCTTCCTTCTGGTGATGATCCGGGGTTCAAATCGGATGCGAACCGAAGCAGCGGAAAGTTTTCAAAACGAGTGTGGCGCCAGGCGACGAGTGCCTGGCCCTTGCTCGGTCGGCTCTTTTTGGGCAGCAGCGGCGCTTCGTGCCAGATCCGGCTCCGGCTGGCTCTACAGGGTGCACTGCCATGGCAGACAGCCGCGAGATGGACCTGGTCCGTGTCCACTTCAAGGCGGAGGGGGGGAGCCCAACAGAGGAAGAGCTGAGGAGGCTCTGAAGACTGACACCTGAGAGGCGAATCACACTGGACGCTCCACGCTGAATTTGCACCAGGACGTTGCTTCTGCTGTGGCATCTGTCAGAAAGCTGCCATCTTTTTCGTTGACTCAGGACCCTCGTCTCCGCGGAACAGCTGACGGTGCCTGCATCACAGCCGCAAGCAGAGGCTGTCCATTCGGACCTGCCGATGCCCCAAGAATGTCTGAGCATGTCTGAGCCCAAGGCGCAACCCATGCCAGGAAGTTTGTTGGAGCAAGCAGCCCTCTGGTGAATGTGTCGGTGTCACTGGACCTGACCCTACAGCAAGCGCGCATCTCTCTGGCAGGCCCTGCGTCCGTTTGGTTTGGGGTTGGCATCTTGGTTGCCGCATTGCCCCAGACAAGTTTCTTCTGTTCTTAAACCTTTCTGTACCCTGATTTAGGTCGAATCGTAGACTCTGCATGTACCCTGATTTAGGTCGAATCGTACGTAGACTCTGCATGCGGCCATGCTGCCCAGGCTTCAACGCGGTGGCCATGGCCGACTCCCCCTGGGCGCTCATCGTCGATGGATCGGGTGCTGTCACAGAGCGGAAGCTGGGACCTCACGAGGCCGGCAGGCTGCTGGAGCCATCGGTTTCCCTTGAGGAGACGAGGGAGTTTCCGAAAATTAGGGGTACTTGTACCTTATTTGGGGGTCCTCATAATAAGGATCCTACTATTTAGGGT